CACTTGACTGCTAACCAGAAGGCTGGCAGTTCAAACCCACCAGCCACTCCTCGGAAGGAAGGTTGGGCAATCCTACTTCTGTAGTGCTACTGCCTCGGAAACCAAGAAGGGGTCGCTATGAGTTGGGGCCGACTCGACAGCACATAACAACAACAACAAGGGCTGTGAGGGTCAAATGACTTAATTATATAATACATTTAGAGAAGTGCCTAGCATACAATAAATGCTTAATAAGTGTTAGCAATTATCCTTATTAATATTATTATAACTGTGTGATTTTGGGTGAGTTGACTAAGTTCTTTAAGTTAGAATAATCAGGATTTTTATTTCATTTATAAATATGGAAAGATAATTAATTTCCTAGGGGTATTATGATAAAAAGTAGGCAATGTGTGTGAAATGCCAAGCACAGGGCCTAATACTTAGTAGGTACTTTGTGAACAGTACCTATTATTATTTTCCCAAGTTATCAAATCAAATTGGGACTTTCACTATCTTCAAGGCTAACAGGGGACCATAATGGACTAATGTACTTTGAATATATTACATACTCAATAACTTTTTACTAACCAATTTTCAAAGAAACATTAGCAATGTTTCAATAATTATGATAATGTAAAAAATATATATATAAAACAGCGCAGTCTAGTCAAGTAACAAACTAGAAAAGTTGCCTGAAGATATAAAAAATACAATGTAAAAAATAAATAAAAATGCACTTATTTCATTAATATGAATACAAATTTTACAATGTCAGGAAATTCAATGATCATCTCCCTGACACTAAAAGGGTCCACCCTAGTTAGACCAATACTTGCTAATGTTTTTCTTTAACACATTTAGTGAGTTCTAAAGGAGGCAGTACAATGGTTACATGCTTGCTACTAACTGAAAGCTCAGCAGTTAAACCTACCTCCCTCTGTGGGGGAAAAGACCTGGCGATCTGTCCTGTGAGGATTCTAGCCTAGGAAACCCTGTGGGGCAGTTCTGCTCTATCCTACAGAGTTGCTATGAGTCAGAACTGAGTCGAGGGCACACAACAAACAGCAGAGTTCTAAATTTTAGACATCATCATAAAAAGAGATAGAGAAAATGTATTTACTTTGGTCTGCATTTTGTTAAGCCTTTAGGAAAATGCCCATGACAATGACTAACAAGAAGAAAGCAAGAAGGAAAGAAAGGTACAGGGATTCTTCTGGATCGCTTCCAGACATTCACCCAACCCCAAATGGTTTCCCCAGGCCAATCCCTTTTGCCAATGACTTGTATAGGAAAGGGTTTGTCTCTTCAGATGGGTTCCTGAGAAGCAGAGCCTGAGACAGAGATTCAGTGCATATGATTTACAGAGAGAAAAAGGGAATAAGACTTAGGAAATGTCAAAGAAGAAACTAAGCAAAGACGTGGCCTTAGCTATTATTTAGCTTCAGCCTGATCAAAAGAGAGCTCTACAGATAATTTACACCACAAAGTGGGTCCTGAAATTATGCTGAGGCAAGAAGTAGTCCTTTTTTACCTGCCTCTACGTCAGCTGATCATTGACTACAAGCCCCAGGGGAGAGAGGTATAGCAAGGGGAACAGAGACAGATCTCATTTAGCCAAGTGTAATTCTCCAGAGAAGGTGGGAGCCACAAGAGGTTTAATCAACAGGCCCAGCAGCTAAGATATGGGTGCAACAGCCCAGAAAAGGGAATCTGGGCAAGGCACCACAGTTTCCAAGAAAAGTTTCCACCAACATCATGTGACCTATTCTGCCTCAAGAGACATGAGGGGAAATCTGATGAGGGACTTCTGGGAAAGTTTCCTGACTCCTAAAGGCAGAGACACAAATGAGCTAATTTCTGTTTTCCTTTCAGTGTTGTCAAATCTAGATATGATGTCTGGAGTTACTTCAACTGGTCGGATGAGAAAGCAACACCAAGCATGGCAGAGCAGGGAATGAAAAGAATCAGAACTTTTGATGATATTGTTAAGCTGCTGTATCACTGCTCCGGAGCCTCCCCAACCTCTAGAGTTCCAGCTATGTTAAAGAATAAGCACATTTGATTCAAATTTTGTTTACCTGACCCTGAAATCATCCTAACTGACACACAAAGTAAAGAGGCAAAAGCAAAACTGGAAAAAAAGAAAGGTAGAACACAAGAAGGGAATAAAGGAAAGGAGTTAGGGCAGAAAATAAGAAGGAAAGAGAGTAAGGAAGGAAAAATAAGAAGAGACGGGGCTACAAGAAAGACACAATACAAGAACATAGTATTATTCTGATACATTATGACATTGTCATAATGTAATTTAGTCCTCTTGGTTCACGGCTTCCAGTGCTCTTCTATAATTCTAAAACCTGTAAAAACTGCCAATAGTTTAATATTAATAAAAAGTAGAGCAGCAATGTTCTGTAACAAGAAAAAAGGAAACACTAAAGATTTTAAAGTCAAGTTGGTATGTTTACTAAAACTGTTTTGAAGACTGGAAGGGAAACTTCTAGAGAAATGAAAGAATTATTTTTCTTTCCCTACCTCCATCCACTTCACAAAAGGCTTTTATTAATTTTTTAATGCAGACATAAATCTACCACCCAATCCAAGGAAATGGAACAGTACTAATGATCTACACCTACTGTATCTTCCTCTGTTACCTCCACAAAAAGTTCTAAGAGCTCTTTACATATGGTCATATATATAAATTTGTCATTAGATTCTATAATTCTACTTCTGAGAATCTATCTAGAAAAAAGCATAAGCTTATAAATATTGAGCACTACGTTATTTACACTACTAAAGAATTAGAAACAACCTAATATCTAACAAGGAGCTCTGGTGGCATGGTGCCTAAGGCCTAAGGCATTTGACTGCTAACCAGAGGGTTGGTGGTTCAAATCCACCAGCCATTCCACAGAAGGAAGATTGGGCAATCTACTTCCGTAAAGATTTATCACCTCCTAGCCTTTTCTTGCACAAAAATAGAATAAGAATGGCTACAAACTGACTGGAAGAGATTCATATTTGTACCCATTCCAAAGAATGGCTAAATAAGAACCATATGCACCTGTTCTCACTTACCTACAAAGTCAACTTAAAGACACACACTTAGGAACAGATCTTGTTCATACCTAGGTGACTGCCTGTACTGAAAGTTTTCTCCCACGCACAGTTGCTGGTTACCTCTTACTCTCTGAGAATAAGAATTTACTCAGTTCCTTAAATAGCCAAAGATACAAAAGTCATCTAGATTATTTTCCATTTTCTCAACTCATTTTTTCTTTATAAATAGCATTTTATAAACATAGTTCACCATTAGTTTTTCTATATTTGGTTTCCATATTACCAACAAGGGGCGCTCTAGTGGTGTAGTGGCTAAGGCATTTGACTGCTAACCAGAAGGCTGGTGGTTCAAACCCACCAGCCACTCCTTGGACAGATGGTTGGGCAATCTACTTCTGCAGTGATACCGCCATGGAAACCCAAAGAGGGGTCGCTATCAGTCGGATCTGACTTGATGACAGTGAGTTGTGTTTTTTTTTGTTTTTATTACCAAGAAGAGTGAACAAATTTGTCCTGCAAGAAGTACAGTTGGAATGTTCTTTGGAAGTGAGGAAAGGAAGAAAATACCAAAACGGATGTCAGAAGAGACTCTGAAACTTGCCCTTGAATGAAGAGTAGCTAAAGCAAATGGAAGAAATGACAAGATAAAAGAGCTGAACAGAAGATATCAAAGAGCAGCTTGAGAAGACAAAATCAATTATCATAATGAAATGTGCAAAGACATGGAGTTGGAAAGCCAAAATGGAAGAACATGCTCCATATTTCTCAAGCTGAAAGAACTGAAGAAAAAATTTAAGCCTTGAGTTGCAGTACTGAAAGATTCTATGGGCAACATATTGAATGATGCAGGAAACATTAAAAGAAGATGGAAGGAATACACAGAGTCACTGTACCAAAATGAACTGGTAGATCTTCATCCATTTCAGGAGGTGCCATATGATCAAGAAGAAGTTGAAGCTGCACTGAAGGA